CCCCCAACCACCCCAACACACTGCCAATGGGCAAGCGCACACCCCCAACCGACCACCCACCAGACTCTGGCAGCCCCCTCAGCCAGCGGGCCAACCACGGCAACCAGGAGCCATACCCTGGGAGTCCAAACGGCCCCAGGGAAGCCGGAGCACCAGCCCCATCCCCGGCACCCCCCCCAGGCCCCGAGCCCACCCACAGTCCAGGCTCCCACCAGATGGTCCACCCCTCCTCCGAACCCTATAAATAAATTGAGGAACAGGGGAGTGGGAAAAAAAGAAAGAAAGCCTTTTTTTTACATGACACGTTTCTTCAAAGAGTAAGGGTCTTGAATCCAGAAGTTACATTTTGTGACTTTACTGAACTAAAAAAGTACAAAACTGGCTAATTCAATCTAAACAGAAAAGTAATGTCTAGACTGTATTACTCGTGTGTAAAACTTCTTCTGTGTTGATGCCTTTCATGCGTATTACCCATCTAGCAGCTAATTAAAGTGCACTATTTACTAAGCCTAAATAACATATTTATTGTTGCTAATCTTATTTTTTAAACACAGTAACAAAATATTCTTCACAGAAATACAGTAACTCAAATGACGAAAAGTAATATATTGCATTGTTTTTAAACTCCTTTGTAGAAATGACTCTTACAATAACCCATTTTTCCATCTTTCCATTATCTTTTACCTACTTCTTATCAGGGTCACAGGGGGTCACCAATGTCCATGTCCAGCAGTCACTGTGTGGGGGACAGCCTGGATAGATCCCATCACAGGGACACATAGAGACAAATGAGATAAACAACCATTTACACCTAGGGACAGTTTAGAGTTAACAGTCAGCCTAACATTCATGTTTTTGGTCTGTGGGAGGAAAACGGATTACCAGGAGAAAACCTGCACAGAGAGAACATTCAAACTCCATAAAGCCAAACGAGAGGCAACAGTTCTACCAACTGAGCCATCATGCTGCCTAACCCATTTTTGTGTTTGCTAACGTTGATTAGCATTAGCATCTATCAGTTACATCTATTCATTACTTGTGAYAGTTTCATTAAAATTCCTCCAGTGACTCATGAGCTATTTTACTAACGGAAAAAAACAAACACATGTGCACACAAGCAAGTACAATTACATTATCACCCATCTTTCATGGCAGCAAAGAATAACGAAACCTGTTCAAAATGTTGCATAAAGTTAAAAACATTTTGCTTCTTGTAGACCAAAAACACAGAGAATGAATTAGCTGAATGACAACACAGAAGAACAGGAAAGCAGGGGCGCTTTGTAAAATTCTGCATTCAAGATCAAATATTTGTCTTCACTGCATGTTTGAAACATCTGTTGCGGCTTATCATTGTCGACAAATTTGCCGCAGGGCGAAGAAAAAAAAGCACATTCTTGCATTTTCATCTGCCTCAGCTGAAAGAAGGGCTTCATTATTTCAGCTGAGAAGATGGCTGACAAATGAACAGCTTTAATTGTGCTGATCATTTGAGCTCATGTTTGCTGGTGGCTGGCTCTAAAACTAATTTTGAATATGAAACGGAACAAATCATAAACATATTAAACTGCTGCAATGAGAAGCACGTCGGAATTGTCTAATTCCCTTTTGATTTAGCGCCCAACATTATGGGACTGCTTCCTGTAGCTCATTTCGTTTCCTTTAAAACCACTGAAGCAATATCATTTACATATGAAGATCATACGTTTTTAATTAAAGATGCAAACACGGAGGCAAGCATCAGTCAGCAGTGGCATTTCTGGAAATGAGATGTAAGCTATTACTGGAATACAAACCATACAACTTTGGTTCGAGTGCATTCTGTCTTACTTTTTGAGAAATTACAGTTGTTCTCAATTTTTTGACACAATTCTCTGATCAGAATTCAACTTTTCATAACTTTGTTCAACCCCCACAGCATTTACTCATTTGTAGTGGCAGTTTCTCATTCATTCTTAGAAAATGCAAATGCTTTTGAACATGCATCAATTGCCTCCAAACAACGCCTAAATGCGGAAGAGTGAGTCAGAGTCCTGTGATTGTTGTATGTTCTAATTCATTTCTAACATGTGCTGCAATGTTGCTTACAGTTGTGCACAGCTCTACCCGAAAGCCGTTTCTAATATGTTGTGTTTGCTTTGGCACAATGCTGTGTGCAAATTAAAATTGCAACAAGCGTATAGCCATTCAATATGTTCAACCTCTTGTAGCCATTTACCTACATACAGTAATGTGCAACTTCACTGTAGATGTCAGTGCAAAAAGTTTATTGAGCTGTCTTGAGCATTTTCAGATAGCATCACCAAAATCAGACTTTTTTTTTTTGCACTGGAAAACAAGAATGAATGAATGTATTGAAAATGGAATGGACAGTCATAATGCAAAACTTCTACTCTAAAGGTAAATAAGCTAAAATAAATCGTCTATAGAATAGAAGGTCAGTTGTTTTGTTTTTGAAAATATTGTTTTTTGAACTGTCGTAATGAAAACATGACAAAGCCATTTGACTATCATGTTCATGAATGATGAGGAATTTAATTTTGATGACACGGACACTTTTATTGACATGAATAACATGCCTTTGAGGAATGAACCATCCATTTTGAGCAAGTGACATGCTATTGCAGGTTTTGAAGTTTGTACTAATTGAGAAATGCACTAACTGTTGTTAATAGTGATGTAAGAAATGCACCAAGGCGACTGAGAAAAACTAACAAAATAATGTTTTGTTTTACACTCACAACCTAAACTTCATCGCAGCATTCTTGATTGTCTAAATTGTAAAATACTGAGAATTTAAGACCTGCTTGAGATAAGAAGCGCTACTCAGTTAAAATTGAAAGCTTGTGTTTTTCACCTTTAAAAATAACATGTAAAAGGGAAAATGTATTGCTTGCAGGAAGCAGCAGGAGTCAAAAAAAGAGACAGGATTCTGTATTCTTACAAGAAGAGGAAATTTTTATTTATAACACATGATGCTGACAGGGAATCTTCAGCTCAGCGTCTATATTACAAGGTTGATCTGCAAGGCTGTGCATGTACTGTACGGTAGTTTGGAAATCATGATTGCAGTGGCACTAGAAACACACGCTTGAAACAACAGACTCTCTCAGCTTTTTTCCCTTCATTTTTTAAAAAAATTGTACAAACAACAATATAAAATATTTGTGCTGTTGGCAATTTACAAAAAAAAGTCTTTAGACTTTATAACTGTGCAATTTTTTTCTGCTTTTTTTAACTTCCTCCTTCATTTGAAAACAATGTGAGTGCACCCTCCAAACTCCGGCCTCCGTCATGCAGGCTGCACGCTTTTGTATGTCATACGGTTACTTATAATAGAACTCACCTGCCGATTATAAAAAGACACATGCAAAAAGCTCCAATTGTACAGTTACAGTTTGCCTAACACCGTTTGTTTAGCTTCAAGCAAAGTTTACATTATGTACACTTGGACTCAATCAGTAGGAGAACTTGTATGAAAGTCTGCCGCCTATATTTAGGATTCTGGCCGTAGCGAGAAAAGTTTGGCATCTTTTGGAATTTCCTGTCACGTGTTTGTGGTTAGACAATGTCCGTCATGGCCAGCGACGACCCGACATCCTGTGAGTAACACCAGCACCACACAGACCTCAGGGTTGAACTACGGCAGTGGAGCTTTTTTCCTCCCTGGTTCTCAATGCTCGCCTCGCTTTAAGGAGGGAACATCAATATTACAAATGGACCAAGTAAGTCCCCAGAAATAATCAGTCTCCCCTCATTTCTGCTCACAAATTGAATTTCATGGTCAGGGTTTTCCTGATTGCATCGGTGACTTGTCTGCCAACTGAGTCTGACAACATTCAGTATCATAATGGCGTTGTGTCATGTATCCATGTATGACACAGTTATAAAGGTCAGTTGCCTTGTGGAAAGTGAGTGAAACGGATCTGAATGTCTCAGTGAAGCACTTCTTCATTCTGCCGACGCCGGACAGTCGTCAGTAATGAACAAAAAACACTGTTTAATGGGCTCGTATCATATAGAACTCTGACATACAGTATATACAGTAAGGCCTAGAGGAGTGAGCATTTAAGTCTGTACAGTCAGTTTGGAGTGGAACCCTCTTGCCAAGATGAAGCGATAAAAGTATGGCTGTTAGCCCATACAGAGTTATACAAATTCTAGCACATGGCTTTTTGGTGAAATATAATTTGCCAGATATTAATTTGAAACAAAACTATTGTGGAAAAAAAAGATTACACACACAAAAATACCTCAGATCTCACCACATGTATAAAAAATGTTCCATATATACAACATTTATGTGTCAGAAATAATCACAAATAGCAGGAAAAATGAAACAGCTGTGTTTATTCTGGAGGCTGAGAAAGACTGATAAGAGCGTATGCTGCAGTGAGCTCTGGAAACCTTTTTTTTCTGCTCTCATGTCTGAACTGACACCTGTCCAGACCATCACCATTTTTGGAACAATTTCTACTCATCAATCTTTAAATTCCAACCAATGAGACCCTGTTGACCTTCGTATTTACACTAGGTTGCTATCTAACCTACATTTGCATTTCCAGTGATGCCATCATGAAGGATTTTGCCTTCATTTGTTCTGGAAGTTGATGAACTGATATTTTTGTGTGTTTTAAATGTATGTTTTATTAAGGTAATCATTATGAAAATGAATGAATTAAGGAAACTTTCAGTGGGACCTCAAAGTGGGAAAAAAGGTGATTAAAATGCTTTAACCTTCAGCAGCTTTTACCCGGTTGAACATTTTGCATATTTAAATAATGTAATGAAAACTGATGAAGGTAACCTAACCTCCCTGCATGCTACAAACTCTATTAATAATAATAGTTAAAAACACAAGCATATAGGGCTCAATTTTTAAGGAGGTTACAACAAAAACATGTTCAGAGTGCAGCTTTTGAAGAATAATATTAACTAGCATAGTTCCTGGAGTAACTATGAGTAACTTTGAAAGGGCTTGCCTCTTGGTGCAGGATTTTTTAAACCATATTCTTTGGGGATTTCACTTGGGTACCACCATGCCAAACACCAGCTCAATGTGGCTAAAAATGGCCCAATTATGGCCTATTTCACATGTTAACTATGGTGGCCATCTTGGATTTTTGATTTGGGTTCAGAACGTGATGAGGATTGTTCACTGCTACGACACACAAAATTTCCACTGAATTTGTCCAAAAACTGCAGAGTTACAGTCAATTTTACATTTTAGTTATGGTGGCCACCTCGGATTTTAATTTCGACCCTAGTATGTGATGGGGACTGTTTTTGAAATTCAGCCTAATATAACCCAAAATGGCTGAGTTATTGCTGTTTAAAATTAGGTCTGGCAGCCATCTTTAATTTATATTTCGCATTTAGAATTAGCTAAAGCATTTTTCCAGCTACTACTATAATATGAATTTCAAGCTTTCTATGTGCATTACATTTTGAAAATTAGCATATGCAGTTAGCTTAAACCTGAATTCAGAAGTCTTTGGGTTTGCTCTCAGCTACGATTCTGACAAATTTCAGTTTCAGTAGTTTTAAAACTGCTGAGCGATCTGAGTGCCATATTGAATTACACAAACATCCCTTTTCTCCCATGACCCAAGAGGCTGTTCTTCCCAGCAACCTCACCTCACTTTCAAAATGACAAAACTCCTGAAATGTTTAGTTCAAACAAATGCCTGCGATGTAAAAACTGTAAGGTCTGCTGAAATAATTCTTGAACGGTGACTGAGATTGTTTTTTTTATGGAAGTTTTCTAATATTTGCTGTGATTTATGTCAGAGATTTGATAAGTTAAAAACAACATTCTCTTAAGATTTGAGCCTGAGAGAAATTTAACATGAAGCAGAATAAGAAAAAAATCTGGCACCACTCTACATTCTGAGGCACCTTGAAAGAAAACCATTTGTCCTACAGCAAAACCAGAAATACTGACTAAAAGAACACTTTGCCATTTGGGCTGCATTAACGTTGTCAGAAGAGTGAGATATAAATAAAGTTAAGAGATCCTTTTTTTTTAGGTGGATAGTAACAGGGGCCTCCATTCAATTCAATTCAATGCAGGCAGAGGGAATCATTGCTTTGCAATGCATTCCTCAGCTTCCATTCATTTGTAGTGCAGATGAGCACCATAGTTGGCGCATAAAATCTTTGTAGGAAAATTCTGGATCGATAAAAGCAAAGAAAGAAGGAGGTGAAACAGAAGCATTCAGTTGCTTTTGTCACGTTACCAGAGCAAAAATAAAACCAGTATGAACTTCTTCTTTTTTTGCCCTTCATGATCATAATTACATAGATTTCACAAAAAAATCTCTGGAGTCATGCTGATAACGTTTAGCTGAAGGAAAAGTCATGAAAAACGTTCGAAGAGCTTTGGGGTAACAATCGCCTTAAACAACCCTCACACAGAGCATATGTTCAGCAACGTTAACAAGGAAACACATTTGACTCGTCAAGCCTTTCAACTTTAGCCTCATCAGGTTTTGGGTGCAGAGAGCTCAAAACAAACACAGCTGCTGTAGCCACAAAGAAACAAGGACACACAATGTGTTTCTTCTCTAACACAGTCTTGTTATGTATACGTGTGATTTCAGCAATCACATTCAAGTTAACTGTGATCTGGGAGCACAGCTCTGCCTGACTTGAGAACCTAATGATTTGTCCGTAACTCACAGACACACTGTAGGCCTATGAACAGTACGTCTACATGAAGCGACCCACTAAAGCCAGCCTCTGCTCCCGTGAACCCAGCGCTCCCGCAGCCGTCACAGCCCTGCCAGTTGGGGGTAAAAAAATGAGGAGGAGGAGGTTTAAATTAAAGGTTGGGTGGTTGGTTGTGGGGCGGGGGGCACATGGGGCCCTGTAAGCCCAGAGAATGGCAACCAATCCTGAGTTAGCAGGAATCTGCTAAAATATGCACCACTGAAGGCACTTTCTTTTTTTTCTTTCTTTTTTTATCAAACAACAGTGCTTCTGTTCTAAGCAATTCAAGTTCAGGAAAGACTAAACCAGGGCCCTCCATGTAAGGAAGGACTTTCATATTCATGGTATCTTTTTCTTCTTCTCCTTTCCTCTCCCCCACTTTTGTTTGTCTCGGAAACAGTGAGAAGCTCAACCTAAAGCTTCTTCAGAGAGGCAGGCGGAGCGGGGGGGCTCACAGCGAGGGAAAAGTGAAAACCCCTCAGGAATAAAGAACATTCGGAATCAAACGGTAGTGAGGACAAGAAAAAGCTACAAACTGAAATAGAAACAAAACTAGAAGAAAGTAAGTGAAGTCAACACCCAACGTTGGAAAACTAAAGTGAAACAAAAGCATGAGTTGGAGCATACATAATGTGAAAAGCCTGCAAAACAAGTCCATCCATTACAGTCTTTGACGAGCTTAGAGCAGGAGCCAGTGGAAATGGACTCATGGCACTGGTCCTCTGTGGTGGGTTATCGGATTGGTTGTTGAGTCAGTGCAAACTGGTAACGTGTGTTCGAGAAGGTTGTAATAGCCCCCATGTGTTGCAGGGTCAGAGCGTGGCAGGCCAGCTGAAGGGACGAAGGTGTGCGTGCGTGACAGGGCGTTTTTTTTAATCATCATCCCCTCCGCCGTACATGTCGGCCAGCTTCTTGAAGCGGGGTCCCCAGTCATTGAGGTAGTCATAGTCCTGGTCCCCCGTGCTGGTGGAGTTGAGAGAGCTGACCGAGCCGGCAGTGGAGCCGCTGCCCTCATAGTCAAAAACCAACAGGGAGTCGTACGGAGGAGCCGTGGGGTCGTTGTCTGCAGCTCGCAGACCCTGAAAAGGACAGAAAAAGGTAGTCAGTCACTGAACTATCACATAAGCTCCACACACCATCTCTCAACCTCCACTTTCTCCTGTTCAGGGTTGAAGGGGTTTGAAGTGATCTCAGGTGTCATAAGGCACAGGGGCGGTTCTAGGGGCGGGGCCACAATGCCCCAGTCCTGTCACTCATCTGTCCTTGCCCAAGAACAAATGATGGTGGCTGCAGTACCACTTCCAACCACTAGTGGCGCTAGTGAGTCAAATGGGAAAGTCCAGCATGAAGCAAGCTTACAGAAGTCTGCAGAAAAGGTTTTTTACTGAAAACGATGGCTACATTTTCTTACATGTTGTGTGTTTGAGAGTATTTTATTTATGTACAGTAAAAAATCATGTAAAATTGATAGAGATAATTTACTGTGCAAACTTTTGCAAGTGTTTGAACACATGTGACTGATTAAATGTATAAACTTTACAAAAACTGGGGATTTGTGTGCAAGGATGTGGAACAATACTTGGCCTCTCTATGATTATTGTGGCCCCTTGATGGCCCCTTACACTGAAAAATCCTAGATCCGCCACTGATAAGGCGACAGGTGAGACAAGTCCACAACTCAAACAAACAAAACATGCTTTTATTCATAAGGAAGGGGAAGCCGGGAGTAAAAGCAGAACACCCATGAGACGTCAGACCGAAGAGCTGGTTTTCTACTTGGCCTTTCTGCATATGTGTTTCTGCAAGTTTCCCTTTCAAACTGAAAAATGTGGAGGAGGAAAGTATCAAATGAATCCAGTGACTCATTCAGGACTTGCAGTCGCCAATGTATTGTGCCATCGCTTTTTTTTGTTGCCATGAGCTTGTTTTCATGCAGTTTGAGCTTGACACAGGTTCAAAATTCTCCGAGAGGAGGAAGCGCCACCGAGAACAGAGAGCACTTTGTAGAAGTGGGGAGGGAGAGGGGGGGATTTCTCCACTTGTATTAATTAATTTGGAATGCTGGCAGATGAGGTTATTAGAAGACGGTGCCTGCCAAAGCATATTAAAAAGATGAACCTAGGACCACCCAGCCCTCACTCCCCCACCACCACCACCCCCAAACTAGAAGGATTCACGAGCATCCAAACTTTTTCAATATTGGGGTTGTACTTTTACCAAAGATGTCTGGGCAAAAGCAGGACCTAGAGTACATTAGCACTTGCATTAGACTTGTCTCTAATGCTGAGGCACAAGGTTGCCGTCACACGGCCTCCTTCAGCAACATGGTCACACTGTCATCGTGCACAGCTGCTCGTAAAACATGTTCGCACTAATAAACGCTGCTTTCTGCAAACTGCAATCCCAGATAAATCCTTCATTATTTTGTGCCATATCATTAAAAATATAATTGCAGCCAATTTGGTTGCGATGTTATATATAACATTAGACTGTTTCTCTCAACTCCATTGCCAAACACGATCAGAGGAAACTGGCATAAAGGAGAAAAAGTTTGATCTGGGCTTACAGAAGCGACATCTAATCCTGTTTTTTGACACTATTGATGTTTAAAGTTTAGTATCCAAAATGACGCATCTAGAGAAATTTGAGTAAAAAAAAAGTTTAGCAAAAAATTTCTTGCACAAATAAATGACAGATTTAGTCACCATTACTGGCTTATTCTTGTAAAGTCACTGTGATCTTTTTTGGTTTTCAGTTATCAGTCAAATCCTATTCATTGTTTGGTTTCTGTATATGTTACACCCCACCTCCATTTCCCGCAAAGCAAAAAAAGTACACATGTTTTTATGAATGACAAATTAGGGTCATTGATCTGAAGGGCTGGGCAGGTGAAGGAAACAAGAAAAAAATGGGAAAAGCCACAGATGGAAACCAAAAAAAAACCCCTCAGCCCCTGTGGATAAAGTGTGTGGCAAAAACACCATGTGTTTGCTGTGTTTGTGTTTAACCGACTGCTGGAGCGAGATTAGGTTAGTATGTGTGAATGTGTGTGTGTGATGTGTGTGTGTGTGTGTGTGAGAGAGAGAGAGACAGACAGACAGAGAGTTAAGGCTGGATGGATCAAAACTGAACAGCTGCCAACACCTCTCGAGTGTGAACGTGTTGTCACGAGTCTGTCAATCAGCATTTTCTCGCATCAGTGTGCCAGCGTTGGAGTTGGCTGTGTGTGACAGTGCGTGTTTGTCTGCGGAGGGGAGGGAGCAACAGAGGGGCTGTAAAGTAAAACAAAACTTGTTGTTGCCCGTCACCTTACTGGAGTTTATGTAAGAAAAAAAGAAAAAGAAAATCAAATGAAATGTCAGATGGACAAAAAGGAAAACCTGGGACAAACAATCGGATCATTTCTGAACCATAGATCAGGCAGGATGCATGTGACTGTATTTTCACCTCATGGATGAAGTCCCCAATGTCTCCAGGGTGGGGCACGACCGGTCTGATGGGGTACTGGGACTCTGGGATGATGGGACGCTCATCCACTCTGCGTACGCCAGGCGGTTTGCTCATGATGTGTTCTAAAGAGTCGGGCTGCTGCAGCTGGCTCAAGTCATAATCCTGCACAACAGACATGTATAGCAGAGTGAGTGTGAACGCAAAAATCATATATGTGTGTGTGTGTGTGTGTGTGTGTGTGTGTGTGTGTGTGTGTGTGTGTGTGGTGTCTTTCAGGACCTCACCTGGTCCTCCTCTCCTCCTCCCTCTTCATCATATTTGAGGATGTTGTCTCTCACATCATCTTCAGGGTCAATGAGCAGCTGCTTTGTCTGCCTCTCTTTTTCTCGGCGCTTGATCCACACAACAAACAGCAGCACCATGCCTGTGATTACACACGCACGCACGCACGCACGCACACACACACACACACACACACACAATCAATCAATAAGTTTATTCACTCAATTCAACAATTTTCCTCATTATAACATACAAACACATTTTTGTTTAACACATACTATGCATGAGTGAAAAGGGAGCAGGAAGATTCTCAATAATTACAATTATTTTTCATGGCCACATACATTAAATCACAAATAGAATCTGCAAACAATATGTTGTCCTCCTCATTAACTCAAAAGTGTATAAGACTTAATCATTTCTTCCTTATAAAGTATTTTAAATAGATTTAAAGTAGAATATTTTTTCAAATCGTCAACTAAACTATTCCATAATTTTACCCCATAAACTGAAATACACATTTGCTTTAAAGTAGTGCGCACAGTTTTACTTTTAAAATCAGATTTTCTTAGGTTATTTCTGTCATTTGAACTTAAGACAAAAAACTTTTGTAAATTAATTGGCAATAACGTCTTTCTTGCTTTAAACATAACTAATAAAATTTTTAAATTAACTAAATCCCGTAGTTTCAAGATGTTTGATTGAATAAAAAAATATTTGTATGTTCCCTAACATTCACTTTATACAGAATTCTCATAACTTTCTTCTGTAACAGAAACAAAGGTTTAGTGTTGGTTTTGTATGTGTTGCCCCATACCTCTACACAATAGGTCATATAAGGAGCAATAAATGAATGATATGATGTATGGAGTGTTGGTTGTTCTAAAATATTTTTTTTACTTTATTTAAGAGTCCAATACTTTTACATAGTTTTTGTTTCATGTATTTTATATGATATTTCCAGTTAAGTTTATGATCCAAGACAACCCACACACACACACACACACACATTAGAAAGCTTTAGACAACCCGTACCAAAAATTATCATATATAAACTAATTTTCTTTAGATTTTTACCCATTGATAAAGAAAATCATTCATATTGGACAGCTTTGTAGTTTAAAACAAAACAATGTGGACTTTCAGTCCCTTGTATTCTGAAATCCACATAATGGCAACTGTAACACTCAAAACGTCCTCTGCCCCTTTCAGCTCTACATCTCATCAGTGAGCTTTGCACACTCGGTTCAATTCACTATTCAGGCCATAGCTGACATTACAAATGACACATCATTAGCTTGTGTAATGCCTGATATTGATTTGGAGACAAAGACATGGCTGGGTAGCTTGTTGGGCTTTTTGTTTAACATACTGTTAAATTCTGCTCTCACTGATAAGTAGAGTGTTTAGCTGTGAATCTATACATGGATGTGTCAGTTCATAACGCGTGTGACTTAAAAAAAATAATAAAAACATAAAGCATGCGACTTAAAAAAATCATAGTGTGACTTTGACTGGAGATGACAAAAATGGTATGTACTGTTCATAACAGTAACCATAAATGATCACAAAGACATCATCAGTGATCATTTTTAAACTGTAACGATTTGTTTAGCAGCATTACATGATCAGGGCCCTCATTGCAGGGGTGGGGGTACAGGGGCAATTGCCCCCTGTAAAAAGTTGCCCCCCCCCCCCCCCCAGCCCGACAGTTTCATCTTCCTGAGTACCATGCTTTTGCTTGGTGCACATTTTTATTTTTCTCTATCTATTTAGGACTAATGGAACCTCATGAACATAAAAAAATATATAATATAATGTAATATAATATAATATATATAATATTTAAAATTAAAATTAAAGCTTAAAATCTAGTAATTAAATCTTGAATAAGGACAACTAGTCTAAAACCAATGTCCTGAAAATTTAGATGCAGAGCCTCAGGTGATTATATAGATACACTTTTTAATATAAATTATAATGTTGAAGAGGAAAAACCTCTATAAGTTGATTGATGACAGTGTTCAGTTGTACATAAAAAAAACTAAAGTAGACCTATGTTTATCAGAAGGTGATTCTCTAACGCTTAACGCTGAATTTGTAATAACATCCACAAGATGACAACATATCTCCTAAAAATCGGTCCTGGCTTTTGGTGCCACTCAATTCCTCGAGGCACCACTGTATTTAAGATAAGTTTTAAAAGCCATTATTTCCATTACCCCCCACCCCAAAACTGCCTCTTTGCACCACTAAAAGACTTGTTAAAGCCTATATCACACTGTGCATGAGCAAACAAACAAAATAAAAGTGCTAAATTTTACAAGTGGGTCATTCCAACACTTGAATAAGCAGTCACAGCAGTTTTTAAGAAATGGATCATTAATAAACCTTATAATCGTATTTTGGTTAAAACAAAACAAAACAAAAAAAAAAAGAAAAAAAGAAATGGGAGAAAAAATAAAACAGCTGCGGATGAAGATTTTTCCGTAGGGCTTGTTTCTAATTACAGTTTGAACCACAATAGCAAAGTGAAGCAGCAACATAAATCACCAGCCAGGAAATATTTACCCTTCAAGTAAAAAAAAAAAAAAAAAAAAACATAATCAAATCCTCGTTCAGAAACACTGATTGCAGGTGTTCCTACAATTTTGTCCACTTTGCTGTATTACAACACGGCCCACCTGGAAGAGTTTGGGAGCAATAGGATGTCTGATTCAGTAAGAAGAGCTGAAACTCACTGAGCAGGATGATGATGCAGATGAGGATGGAGATGATGGCTCCCGTTCCCAGGCCGGCGGCTGCAACGGCTCCCAGTGTGGTGCAGTCTCCATGTTCATCACAGGGACACACTTTGACTTTGATGACCGACCTGTTGGACAGCGGGGGGTTGCCCGAGTCGGACACAATTACAGGAACCTCGTACATTCCTGGCTCTAAGTATATCTGGTACCGGAGACCCAGGCGGGCATAATCACCTGAGTGAAAAGAAGAAAAAAACTTTCAATTTCCTCAAACTATATACCTATGAGCAGATTAAATGACCAATCATTTACAAAAATCTTCAAAAATATATTTTATTTAAACATTTATTAGATATTAATGCAAACATTATAGATACCATGAATATATTGCTATGGAATACATTTCTACGAAGTGGCCATGGCTTGTAGAGCTTATTTTAGGAAGACTAAAAGAACAGGAACTTATATAGGTAAATATTGGTACTTTAGTGTTTAACAGTTTTTTTTACGTGAAATGTGCTTAAATTAAATCTTTAAACTCACAAGTTTCACTAGAAGCCACCAAAGTTGCCAAACTTATCTCCAACTTATAATATTTAGAGAAGTGGCATTAAGGGTATGAGCTAAAATAAAATTAAAAAAGCATAAATCAAATCATTTTTTATTCTGTTTATTCACATGTATTTTTCTTGTCTTCTTTTTCTTTTTTTTTTTTTTTGGTGGGACACCTCACCACTGATCCGAGAAATGGTCCAGTTGCGCCGGATGCTGCTGGGGAAGTTGGGCAGCTCGAAGACAAAGGGTCCAGCGTTAGGATCCGTGTCAGCATCAGCAGCAGTGATGTTGACACCGTTGACGTTCTTGTTCATCCTTTCACAGATCTGAGACTCCCTGGGTACGAGCGCTGGGGGGTTGTCATTAATATCTATCAAGTAGATCTGCAGCGTGCCTGTGCCGCTGGCTGCAGGGGAACCTGTGAGCAGGAACAGACACACACACACACACACAGAGAGAGAGAAATCATAATCTCGTGACAGCAGGAAAAGATGACAAGAGAAGATGGGTGCAGTGATGGGGAGTACCGAGAGAAGAAGCTGAAGGCAGACAAAAGAAAAGGTAAAAAATAATGAAGTAGGATTTGAAAAAAAAAAAGTCAGCACAAAGAAGACAAAAAAAGGCATTGCTCATTCCCAATGATGATCTTAGCAATGTGAGTACTACAAAACAAGAGGACAATTAGAACTTTTGACAGAAATACTTTTGACAGTTTTACTTTCTAGTTCATCTCTTGGCCTCACAGCTAAATCGAACCCATCAGAGTCGATCCAGATGCAGACACAGCACATCCACTCGCCTGAAGAGGGCTTAGGACCAATAATGATGACTGTAATACAACAAAACAGGTCTTTGTCTCTGTGTATTTACAAAAAACTCTGAGTCATCTACGTTTTTGGACATAAAGGTGCTGCTTCATGCAGTTTTATTGGTGTGTTTTTGAAAGGTGAACTCTGCCTTTTTGCGCTGAGCACAAACGCCTTAAGTCAGAGCAGCAATGATAAAGTAGAGAATGTTGTGTGTTCTTATGTTGTCTTTAATATCACCCGCCTCCAAAAACAATAATGTCTTTCTTTTAATTTTTAATTTTAATGAAACTTTCAGAAACTCTTCATTTGCTTGTCATCTAATTAACTTTTGGAAACGAACCTGTTTCGAGACAGACGCCACAGCAAATAAATCATAGCAAATACAAAAATAATAATTCTGGTTTTAAAATTTGCATATAAAGTGGTGGGTGATGAGCATTTCCTCAAGAAATACTAGGCCTTTAATAAGCATAAATGTGTTAGACCGAGTCCAATAAATGTAGTTTATCTGTGTCATTCTGCTTGCATTAGAGTTAACAGACAAAATGTGGTCAAACACTCTTAAAGGCTTCTTTTTTTCTCAGAACTGCCAGTAATTTTGGCATTGCAACGACTCGCCACATCTGCATGCAATTTTTGTAGCTGATTAGCAGCTCTTACAACCGTGGGTTAAATGGCTCTGAATTTCACTGAAATGTTGGACCTGATCCCAGATTTTAAAGGAGCGGCAAGTGAACTGTTTCAGGCAATGAGTAAAATTTGCTCTGATGCTTCTTTAGGCAGGCCATTACAGACACTGTTTCAACAACAATTCTGTCAGCCTTGGACTGCAATAACATGCACTGCTGCACATAGAAACACTCTCCCCTCATCTACAGACACAATTTTGAAGGCGTTGCATTGATTGAACACAGCAACAGGCCATCAGCAATGGCGTTTACAGAAAACTGGGAATAAAGAATAGACACTTTAAACAATCAGGAAGTGAGATAGTCGTGCAGCGGAGCAAAGTTGTGAGTGTGTGTGTGTGTGTGTGTGTGTGTGTGTGTGTGTGTGTGTGTGTGTGTGTGTGTGTGTGTGTGTGTGTGTGAGCGCAGGATCAAAATGTGGCTCAGAAAAATCAGGGGCGGGAAGAGCAAATGGGGCCTAGGAGTATAAAGCTCAGAGCTGTTTATTGAGTGGGTGCCAGGGGGTGACGACCCCTAGCTGCCTCCAATTATGAGTCATTTCCATGTCATGCACCGACGGCAGAGTCATTGCACGGACTCCAGTGACCCCCAAGGCCTGTCTCCGGGATCAGATAATGGCAAAGTAATTTAGAAAGATTTATGTAAAGCTCACAGATTTGGTAATTAAGTGCAGCAACAGAGCAAGAAATTTGCTCCAAGATGAGAAAAAACACAACTTAAGATGGGTTAAATGTGAATTTTCTTACAGTCTGCGCTCTGTTCAGGTCAAAAAAATATTTTGTGATGTGAAGTACAACTAAAATAATCAGAAAAAACAAAAACAAAGTTACGGTTAAGAATACATTATTAACTACACTCTAAAATGTAAAATGTTGAATTGACTTTACCAAGTTATGTTAACTGGTTTCATTAAAACAAGTTGAGCAAATGTGAAGCAGTTTACTAATTTTCTTTAAAAGAAAATGAATAAATTCAACGCTTAATTTCTTAGGGTGTATTCACACTAGGAAAGTCCTTTGGTCCACTTGTTTGCTCAGGACCAAATTCAATTTTTTCCTTTGGTGTAGTTTTCATTCACATTGTGCTTTTTGCAAGTGGACTATAATTTAAAAACAAAGCCATGCATGTGACGGTCATTGCTCCTATTAGACAGAAATGACGAGGGCAAGACAGAGCACAGACCCAGAAATAAAGATGTTGTTAAAACAACTGACTATTAAGAATATCAAGAGCAGCTCATTCAATGGTGATTTTGCAATGAAATGCTTCTAATTTTGGGACAGCGTTATCAAATGCATGCCACAACCTAAAGGAGACGAGATACTCCACGTTCCCTGATACACAACGGCTCATTTTTTGTAGTGCAGTGTTAATGTTAGCAACACTGGAGGGCTAATGTCGCTTAGCTACAGAGGCCTGTGAAGTTCAAAAAGGCACGTTTCCTGTGGCTGGTTCGGTTTGAGGCCGGTCTGTATTCACACCAGAAGCGAACCGCATTAGAGTTCATTTGGAAGCAGACACAAACCAGGGTTCACACGAGTGTATTCACTCCTAAATACACAAAGGAGCGTTACCTCAAATCCTTCCTCCCAGCAGCTGTTAGATTATACAATCAGCACTACTCCCAACAAACTCAACAAGTATTCATGCTTGTTTGCACAGTAACCAATGCTGTTTCTCAGTCAGTATCTAAATAACAATCTTGTGACTACTGCACATCTATTTTTCTGTACTGTAAGACTAACTGTAAATATCTGCCATTTACAATATTTATTACACAAGCACGTTGCGCACACTACTGGAGATGATTTAATTTGACTCATCTGCACACCTCATTGTAATTTACATGCACTGTATCATTTTTTATTTCTTTTGCCATGTACAGTATTTTGTTTATGTTCATTTTATTTTTTTTATTTCTATTCTGTTACCACTATTACTATTGCTATTGGTGCATAACATTATGTTGTTTTTTTTGTAACTTGATCCTGCTAATGTTACACCTGAATTTCCCCTCTGCGGGACAATAAAGACTGATTCTATTCTATTCTATTCTATTCTATTCTATTCTATTCTATTCTATTCTACACTTGCAAAAGGTCCGGACCAAAAAGGGAAACAAACTCTGGTTCGTTTAAAGCGGACAAAATGTGTCAGGTGTGAATACACCCTTAGAGTCTATAAACTCACTCTATAAACCAGGATTTAGTTCATATAATGAGTTATACGAGATCATTCAGAAGATTTGAAAACATCTAAATCATTTTTGGCAGTCACTAATAAACTATAATGTTCTAGTTTATGAACATATTTCAGACATATGTATGGTACTTTCAGCAAAGCAGTTAACAAAGACATACAGACATGTATAAACTGAACTACTTCTTGAACTGATAAACACACATGGACATAAGCACAAAACTGCACACAG